GTGTGTGTGTGTGTGTGTGTGTGTGTGTGTGTGTGTGTGTGTGTGTGAGTGAGTGAGTGAGTGAGTGAGTGAGTGAGTGAGTGAGTGAGTGAGTGTGTGTGTGTGTGTGTGTGTGGTGGAGGGCAGCAGGTAGTGGAGCATTAAAAATGTATGTGTGAGTTACGTCAAAGCTGGTTAAAAAAAAAAGATGCTGCAGAGAGAGAGAGAGAGAGAGAGAGAGAGCCTGGATTTAATTGTACTCTGGAAAATCTTTCAAACACTTTGTTTGATAAAGATGGGCATGTTCCCTTTGAATGTTCGTACAATAAATACAGGTTTTATTGGGCCCTGAAATATGAAATGGTTTTGCACCACATCTACTACTATTACAACTGGAATTCCTTCTAATAAAAACACGTTATTAACATGAGTATTTAGGGAATCTGTTTTAAATCTGTGCTATGTGGTTCTTTATTTTTGCACGTAGGTATATTCTATACTTCCAGGTTCTGTATCCCATACTGATGAAGCACAGCAGTGTGTGTTTCTATGTGATGCTACCACACCCAGTGCCAACATGTCTGGACCTTATGGCAAAAACAAAAGGCAGAGCACTTACTCCAAATCTGCATAGTTGCAAATTCTGTTCCCTGCGTTAACACTCGAGCAGTTATTGAGTATCCACTGAATACCTATGGCCAGTCAGTGGGGGATTAGAAAATATGTCCAACATGTATTCCAATTCTTAGTCCAGTTTAATGTATAATTCACGGACTGTGTCTAAATGTATCGCGCTCATCCTCTTGTTGTGAAAGTGAAAGCAGATGGCGTTCCTCTGTGTGAATTTGTCCCTCTCTGTGTCCACAGTGAAGAAAGCCAAGCTGGATGGACCCCAAGGTAAGACCCGGGATCCTGGCAGCAGAGAGAGGGAGAGACTCGCTGTTATCTGACATGAATCTTTTAAGCAGACTGAGGACACATTACATGCTGCAGCCATTAATGGAATTGGAGGGATGGGAAGCAGTTACTCTGTAGACTATAATATCTATATCTCACAGGGACTACACATTGTAACCCATCTCTTTCTTCACCCCTTCTCTCCTGAACAGAGAAATTCAACACTTATGTGACTCTAAAGGTACAAAATGTGAAGAGCACAACCATTGCTGTCAGGGGCAACTTGCCCAGCTGGGAGCAAGACTTCATGTTGTGAGTCCGTCATTATCTTCAGACAGAACTCTCTCTCTCTCCTCCTCCTGTTCCTCCCTGTCCCTCGCTCTTTCCTCTACTTTCTCTTTTCATCCTCTCATCTACTCTCCACTTCAGCAGCTTGAGTGCTTTTGTGTGTTTTTTTATCTCTTACATTCTATCAACCTCCCCTCCTCTCCTCTTTTTCCCTGCTCCATCCCGAGTGCCCTTCATCCCTGTATTATTTCAAGTTGCTCTTGCTCTCCACATCCGCACCTCCGACAACCGCCTCATCCTCCTTTTCATCTGCTCTCCCTCGACACCCTTGCCTTCTCTCATCCTCGTTCACAACCTTGGCACCCTCCCAGCCCCTCCTTCCTCTCCTCTGTCACTTCTTCTAAACGCAACGCCTTGATCTTCATCTACTCGGCCCCTCCTCCTCCTCATCTTTCCATTTCAACCTTACCTTTCCCCTCATATTCCCTCTCCTCCTATTTCTGCTCTCTGGGCATCATGAGCAGCATTTCCCACATTTAAATTAGTTTGTTTGATATTGTGTTGGAATAAGTCTTGGAATGATGAGCTTGTTGCAATCATTAAAACATTATACAACACGGAGTGTTTGGCATACAAAGAGAATACCAGCATATGGGCGATAAACGTTGAGAATCATTCAGCATGTGGGATGCGGCAGGCACGGCTGACTGCGGATTCCTGTGCATTTGTAAGATGTTCGGAGGCGTTGGAGCATTGTACTGGGGTTGCATCAGTGAAGCTGTGTTATGTAATGTTTGGGCTGCAGAGAGAGCCTCATCCCCTCCTTCAAACTGCCTTTAAATGACTATCCCCCCCCCCCCCCTCCGTCACAGCCATGAATCAAACAGCCACGTTTCCTTAAAGGAGTCACCACTGAGACGGGAAATCCAGTCCCCCTATTTCTTAATTAAACTTCCCACTCTCTTCCTCCAGGCGTGCGATACAATCACCTCCTCCACTGCCTTCATCACACTCTTCTTCTTTCCTCCCTTCATTCATCTCTCTCTCTCTGTCTCTCTCTGTCTCTCTCTGTCTCTCTGTCGGTCCTGCTTCCTGCTGTCTTGTAAATGTTTTATGTTAGATTCTCTCAGGCTTGCTCCCACAGAGACATGTCTTATATTTGGCACAATGAAGCCCTCAAGTAATTACTATGCATCATATGTGTGTGTGTGTGTGTGTGTGTGTGTGTGTGAGAGTGAGTGCCTCTGTGTGTTTAGCATCTGTCTTGAAATGGTGATGGAAGAAGTGTGTTGTTCAAACTCCGACTTAAGTGAAAGTATTTTCAGCAAAATGTACTTTTCTCTAATTCTTGCTGTTCTGTGAAATATTGCATAATTTGACCTTGAACGACGACAGGTTTAATCTTTAACAATGCACTGAATTTTATTTAAGTTAATCATATGTTCTTTTATGGAAAATCCTAATCTGAAAAGCAACTACAGCTGTCAAATATATATTTCCTATTGAAATGTAGTGGAGTATAATAATTACTTTCCACAGCTGTTTTTATACTAAGGCAGTTACATTTTCTCTTGGTTTTTAACGTTTTTGTCTGTCTTTCTCTTCCTATCCAGCGAAATTAACCGCCTGGACCTGGGTCTGACAGTAGAGGTGTGGAACAAAGGGTTGATCTGGGACACCATGGTTGGCACCGTGTGGATTCCCCTCCATAGCATCCGGCAGTCAAATGAGGTTTGCCGCTAACCACTTGAGAAATCCTGCAGCTAAACACTCTGTACTCGGCTGTACTCGAGGGACTCACTCAGTTGGTGGTTGGACATGTTTTCATCATGCTCATCCGCTTGTGTGTCAGCTGCAAAATGTCTCTCTGTTCGCAGGAAGGTCCGGGGGAGTGGCTCACACTGGACTCTCAGGTCATCATGACTGATAATGAGATCTGCGGCACCAAAGAGCCCACTCTCCACCTGGTGCTGCTCGACACGCGCTTTGAACTGCCCCTCGGTGAGAAATCAATACTCGCATCAAAGTCAGAAACTGTCAAAAGGATGGAGAAGATGAAAATATAGCAAATCATCAACCCTTGAAGGAAGGAGACGAGGACTTGAATAAATGATGTCTGTCTGTATATTTCCACAGCAAACGGTGATATATGAACACCAAATAGTCTCTGACCCACTTTAAAGTGACTTGTGTATTATTCTGTGTGTACGTGGGGAAGGTGTTGGTGTCCTTTCCCTCTCAGTGATCTAGCTGGAATCCTCTTAACATTGATTGGGGGTTATTTTCTTACTGTTTCCTCTTCCTCAAGTCGATACTGTACACCTGACTCCTCAGTTTGTGAACCTAACCTGCTGATAGGGGTTTGGCTTTAAGGCCAATTTTCTATGTCACAAGCCAAAGTATCTGGGTCAAATAATATTTGCAAATGGGTTCTTTGAAATTACTTTGTCATCATTTTTTTGGAGTTTGTACAGAGAACCAAAAAGTTTCGTGAATAACTCTTTTATCAGCCTACAAAGGCGGAGCCTCATTAGGGTTGTTTCTGCCACCTGAGTTTGTCTGGCTTGTTGTTTTCAGATATCCCTGAGGATGAGGCACGATACTGGGCTAAAAAACTGGAGCAGCTCAATGCCATGAGGGACCAAGATGTAAGCTGTCAACCCATTTGATTTAATACCCCAGCACTCGCATTTTAGGAACATGCCAACATGATACATTGGGGTATTAACTATATCATGCATTACAAGATGAAATCCAACTGTACCTTTTCTCCACTTCCTGCATATAGGCATAACATTTACATTTTGTTTACAAGTTAATCTGAAGTGTAAGTTTTATATTTGTCTGTCTCTTCTGTCCAGGAGGAGCAGGAACGCCCTCTACGTGTACCAGGAACCCAGTGCTGTGAGCGACTCATTTGTTTGTGCTGAACAAGAGAATTATGTGTTTAACTGTTGAGATGTAATTAGATTGCTTAAGCTCAGTATGCGTGTGACCACACATGGGTTGCTGTGTGTTAAATGGTAAAAGATTGCTGCACTGTAAAGGATCGATAGTGGTATCGGATGTCCGGAGGCCTGCTGAGCCAGCTGTCGGGTGCAGGAGGAAAGACTCGGAGGCTCAGCACTCCCTCTGTGCTCTCTTTCCATTCGCCAGCTCAATGTGGGAACATTAATGCTTTAATTGTGTGAATGCATGTTTATGTTTGGACACCAGTGCAATTTATAATCAATACTGACACCTTGCCGTTTTATTGCAGGTAACTGGAGTCTATGGGGAGACCAACAAAGTAAGTGTACATAGTGTACATACAGTGCAGTACATCAGTATCTGGGGAATAAAAGAGGTTTACGGGGGCTGACTCAACATGTATATTGGATGAACAGTATCGGACTTGTACTCTTATCTCTGTGCCACATGACAAGTCGTCAACTGGGATCATCACTTTCATTCTGTCATTCTTTCATATTCACTTTCTTATCTCTTTCTCTCGCTTCTCTTTTCTCCGATTACTGCACAATGCGAGGAGACCTGTAAGACTGCTGAATTGTCTTCTCTTGTTCCTCTGTGCAGATGAAGACCCAGACAGTGCTGTGGACGACAGGGACAGCGACTATCGCAGTGAAACCAGTAACAGCATCCCCCCTCCCTACTACAGCACATCCCAGCCCAACGCCTCTGTCCACCAGTATCCCATCAGCCAACAGCACCGCAGCTCCAGAAGCCTCTCTTACCCACAATCTGGCACCAGCCAAGACCTCGACTACCAACATCAGAGGACTGTCAGGTGCGTACCTGCTTCAGTGCGATCAGGAAGTTAAAGTAATGGTTGTCTTCATTATACATTTTTGTTTTGTTTGATCAATTATTTTGTTTAGGAAATTGGGAAAAATGGACATTGCAATCTAGAGCATAAGGTGACTTTAGATTGGTTGCAACAATGAAACTTCATATTCGAGGAAATCAACAGTCTTTCAGAGTGGTTCTCAGAGAACATCCTACTGTTTAATATCAATAAAAGCAAGGAGCTGATGTTAGGAAAGGGAGGCAAAGACACACACCCTCTCTACATTAATGGAGCTGAGGCGGAGCAAGTGAACAGTTTTAAGTTGCTGGGAATCGGCATCACAAACAACCTGACTTGGTCCCCATCATTCATTTCATTATTTACACCTCAGACAGAAATGCCCACCAGTGAATGAACACAGTCAATGACCGCCGTGTGTGTGTGTGTGTGTGTGTGTGTGTGTGTGTGTGTGTGTGTGTG